TTATAACACAAAGAAATGGGTTCACTCCATGTAAGGCATGTTCCTTGTGTTACGAGTCAGTGGTCGGGCTTTTTTTGGTTTTTTAATCTTTAAAAAGACATCTGATGTATATCTCAGTAAAAGCAAAAAAGGAAATCTAGCTGTTGCTTTCAATAGTTTGAAAGGATAGTAATAGGAAACACGTACCAATGATGGCATATTGCCTAATACGCAATTCCTTTTGAGGTCACTGCGGTGTAGTGAATAAAGCCTGATAGAGCAACAGCATCCTGCCTGGCTGTGTTCTGAAATACAGGAGTGCTCCAGCTAAAGGGTGACTCTTCTAATTATGGTGGCTTTCAGAGTTGGAGGCTTTTCATCTAGGCCTTCCTTGTGGCTTTCATTGCCTTTTAAAAAGGTTCAAACTACATGGAATATTCTAGTATAGTACTGTCTTTAAGGCTATATGCAATAATATAAATAAAAGTGTATTGCTTTTTTTTCATTGTGCTTTGTGGCATGTGAGGTTGGGTTTTAAAAGTAGCATCTTTTAATCTGTAGTAATGATGATTCTGTGCATGGAGTGAGTATCATTTAGTTCTCTGAAAGTGCTCAAGCTGCTAAACTGAGCTACAGTCCAGACCTCAATATTTGCTAGCGTTGAATTAGTCTAACACTTGGCAGCTGATGCTGTTGAGAGAGTCAAGAATGCATTTGTGGTCAGCTGTGGCTCACATCTGGTGACACATCTCTGGCTACAAAAGCAGAGCTAGTGCACCAGGTTGAGAATTCACCTGCATCTGGATGGTGGCCCTTTGTGCTCCAGTACTTGAGGCTTTGGAGCACTTTGAGACTTGCCGTGATGATGCATCTTAGTGAATGAACAGCAATGCACTGGCACCAGCTCACAGACCTGCTTTACTGGAGTGAGTGAGGGCCTGGGAGTTCTTTTGTCAAAGCATGAAATCCTAGTCCTCAGGCGTATGAGCGGAGTGAGTTTGGGGCAGTGTTGTAAAGCAGTTAGTTTCATAGCGTTCTGCCCTCCTTCCAGGTATATAAATGCAGCAATTCCTGCAAATAAATTAATTTTTAAGGACTTTCTGATGCTCACATTTTGTAGTACCATGATGGGTTTTCCACATTTGCATTTTTGGGAAAACTGCTGTCTGCTTCCCTCATGTTTCATAAGTGTTGGCTGGGTTTACACTGCTAGTGAGGATAATGGGAGAAGGAAAATCTCCTTACCAGACTGGAGTCAAGATATGTCTCTGTTATAAAGTCTGCTATAAACTGCTCTCAACGCAACTCATCTGTCCCACTGCCAGAGTGATCTATATAATGTTGAATACCTAGACACTGTTTAGATGTGTCCCATGAACTTGTGAATCTCTGTTCTTAGTTACACTAGTACTTGGGCAGCAGTGGGTGAGGGCATGGAGGGAGGCAGATAGGAAGGAACTCAGGTAAAGCATAGCAAATTCCCAAATTTATACAGTTCATATTTTTAGTGAATGCATCACTCTGTGTTGATTGCTCCTGGTTTCACTCTTCTTTCTCTGCATGCTCGATATTTTTCTCCTATCTGTCCCATTCTCCTCAGCTGTAATGATAAGACAGAAATACTGCTTCTGAAGTCTTCATCTCCTCAGCGGCTGTATTAAAGCAACCGCATTGCTTCATTCCTCCCTAGCAGTATGTATGTGTTCATGTTTCTTTCTCATTTCCCTTTCTCCCATTCTCTCTGTACTGTGTGTAGATATATATATTTGTACAGTAATGCCCTATCTCTGGTGATCTAAGTAGAAATACTACATACACAAGGTATGGAACAGAGACAATATTGATCCATACATATATGTACATGTACATGTAAAAATATATATATGTTGGATGCTTAGTTAAAGGTACTAAGCACTGTAAAAGAGTTAAAGGTACTTTAACTGTACAAGATTCTTTGCATGGTCTTTTTGTGAAGTGAAATAACACATTCTTCATTGTAACTGGCCCTTCAAACTCTGTAAGGAAAGCTTTTTAACAAAAACCCCCAACATTTTTTTCATGAAATTATTTTAGGATCAGCTGTGCTTTGAACCATTAAAAACTGTCAATTCTGTTGAATGTTTTCCTCGGGAGATATTTTGAGTATGTTAAAATAATATCTGGAGAGCAAAAGTAGCAAGAATAGCATCTGCTATACTTGGACAGTCTGAGAACATGGATCTGAGTCCATCTGCTGCAGGTCGTTGCCTTCCTCTCCTGAAGTGCAGCTGCAATGTGAAAAGTTCATGGTACAGACTACTGCTGGAGGAGAGGAGGAAGCAATGTTATTATTAATGGTTTACTGTTTTCTTTTAGCAAAACCAGCCTTAGAAATTTGTACCAGAATCCCCCCTAGAACAGATGACTTTGCAATTAATGAAACCTTTTTTTTTCCCCTCAAGTTAGGAAATACCAGTGAATTCCCTGTGTGCAGCTCAGTTCTTGTCACCTCTGCAAATACTTTATGCTGTAGCTTTTGGATTTTAATATCCTTAGCAACAAACTATTTTTCCCTAAAATACAATTTTCTCTTTTAGTGCATAGGTTAGACAAGAGACTGAGAATTGCTTTGTCTGTGCTACTGATGTATGCCCAGTACATGGATAAGACTGAGCATGCTAAGTTCATCCACATTGCTGGATATTAAAAAAAAACCAAAACAGAACCAAAACACTTGTTGCTCAGGTTCAGACCTCTCACAGGATGTGATAATGGATTGAATGTACATGAAAACTGCAGTAGGGTGTCGGGGAGCTGTTTGTTCTCTGGGCACTTACTGGATAGGGCAAGAAGTGCTGGTCTTAAAATTGCAGCAAGAAAGACTCAGATTAGGCTTTTAGCAAAACTTTCCAAAGGCAAAGACACTAAAGAGCTGAGATAGTTTGTGTGCAGAGACCATACATTTTTTGAGTTCTTTAATGGGTTAGATAAATATTTGTCAGGGACCAAGTATTGATTCATATCTTGAATGTTGCCCTTTCCAATGCAACAAATGAAAGCTGTGTGTGTAGAAGAGCTCAGTTGGAGATAGGTGATGTTGAAGTGAGCTGGAGTGAAACCAGCCCTGCCTGTGCCTAGCACATGCAAACCGTTTGGATGAAAGATTTGGTTTATACTAAGGCACAATGCAAGAACTTCATCCCCAGTACCACTCCAGAGCTTCATCTAAGCCTGTACTTGCCAATACGCTTACATGCAAATGGTAAGACGGCAGGAGAGTCTGGCTTGGACCTGTGCCTGATCGATAGGTTTTTAATATCATTTACGGTTACTCTGGTTACTCTAAATCTGTGTTTTCCAAATTTTGAAACTTTGTTTGCAAACATCCTTTTCAATATAATATTTTTTCAATATGTGTTGCCACACAGCTGGCAAGGTTTGATTTCTGCGGTGTTTGCACAGTGTTCTCCTTCCTGGACAATTCCACTAATTTCAGATCGTGCTGTTGAGTCCAGTGCACGTAACTGAAGCAGAAGGTTTTGCCCAACAGCGATAAAGGATGTAAAGTACCCATAATCCCAATCATGAGGTGTGCTTTTAAAATAATGAGCAACTGTGATTCGCTTAACCCTTACTTTCTTATTTTGGAATTTATTTCATGTTGTTTTTCCTTTTTTTTGTTAGCCACAATGAGGAAGAAGCTTTCTAGAAAAATCTATTTATCTCATTTATTAAGATGGAGAGGGTAAAATGAGCCAGTAAATATGAAGGACAATTTTATATCTCCAAGTCTTACCCCAGTATTGCTTTTTGAACAAGCTTCGCTGTGTTTTTAGCCACAGGTGTAAACTAGCCAGCAGTTCCCACAGCCCACAGTGTGGCTGTACGAAGGGAGCCAAATCCCAGTCCAGGTCTGCAGTCTTTCTGTGTGAGTCTGCCCTCTTTTGGGGATGCTCTGGAGCCACCACAGTGCGTGTGTATGAATTGGTGTGAAGGTTTGCTGGAAGACTGACTATGGAAGCAGAAAAATGTTCATACATTTATTTGTTTGCTAGCATGCTTCAGTACTCATGCACTTAACTGTAAAACAACAGCAGGTAAACCAAAAGTTGAGGTGAAAGAGTTGAAAGATACTACTATCTATTTTAACAGAAAACCATACAGTAGGGAGACATACAGGAGAAAAGAAATGGAAACACAATTTTGTCAACTGTTCTTTGATATTTTTCTCTAAGCCCAGCTCTGAGAGTGATGTGGTTACATGAGAACTTGTGGCTTTTTGAAAATCTATGTGTCTGGAGGCTGAAAATCCAGAAAGTGATAGAAAGATTGCCAAATGTTGATTTTATAATGTAGGATTATTTTTAGGTTTGTTCTCGTTACATTTTAGGGAACCTGCCCTATTGTATTTTGAGTCATTGAATATACTGAGTATTTTGTTGATGTTATAAAAGTGAATGTGCTTAAAAGCAATGGATTTTGAAATAGAAAATGTTGGTTTTAAGTCAAGAGATGCATTACTGGCAAAGTGTATCACATATTCTTAGTAAGTTACACAATGTGGGGAGGGTCCATTTCAGGAAAGACCATATGTATCTGGGAGAGGAAGAAAGGCATACTTGAAGTATTGTGGGGACGAGAGGCCAAAGGTATTCCTTCATTTCTTAAAGGAGGCTGGGGCCCCTCGTAGCGTGCAGATTCACAGGTTAATTAGGAGTTCAGGTTTTAGGCCATTCATCACAGGTTTCAAAATTACTTTCTTCCTTTCTCCACCTGCCATGCACACAGCTGCTTGGTTAGACACGTAGCATGGTAAGTGCATGCATACTGCCCTGTTCCAGCCTGTGAAGTTGTGCTATATATTGTGGGCAGGACGATTCCCAAATCAAGACCTTTAGCAAACAGCTTTTTTGCGTGTTGAACCTGGAGGGCTGACCCTAACTGAAACCGCGAGCTGGGGGAAGGCTTGTTCACTTGCTGAAAAGGGTCTGCTAGGTTTTGGTATTTCCCACCCCACTTCTCTGATCCCTTCTCTCTCGCAGGCAGGAATGGCATCTCCTGAAAATCCTGAGCAGTTGATCATTGCCCTGGAACCCGAGGCTGCCTCTATCTACTGCCGAAAGCTCCGCCTGCACCAGATGATAGACCTGAGTAGCAGAGCGCCTGTCAATGGTTATAGCCCGAGTGACACTGTTGGAACTGGATTTACACAGGGTACTACTTCTATTAACTCACTTCTTTAGATTCTTATGCCTAAGTTTTCTTTGCCCATGAGGGATGTTTTCTTAGCATTTCTTGTTGTTTTTGGTCTCTTGAGGTGTTTCAGGCTAGCATCAGTTTGCTTTTGTAAACTGTTCTGCTGTTTAACTAGTTTAGGCATTGATACAGCAGCGTTTGCACACGCTTGAATTTTAGCATGCAGGTAGCTTCATTGCCTTGTCTTTATTGGGATGTTGTGGGAGTCTTTTAGTATTTTCATGACAGTATTTTTCTGCCTTAATTAACATCAATACTTCACTTTGGATCATTTTTAAAATTTAATTTATTGGAAGCATTTATGTGTTAGATTAGCTGCATTATTGAAGCAATATTGAATACCTGGATCTGCAAAGAGACTTTTAGTCTGAAGTGTTCCAGAGTTTTGACAGATGCTTTTTGATGCCATCTTTATGAAATATTATTAATTACTTTAAACACTCAGAGGAACACATGGTATTGGAATATAGCAATGAATTTATCTGCTCATAGATGAGTAACGAGATACGGTACTTCTGATTTATTGACCTGGGATCTGTTGCTAATATTGATGTTTGATGACTGACTGACAGTGACAGCCAGAGATTAGATCACAGTGTAAGTCACTTGCCAAAAGATCCTTTGCCACCAAAGAATTTTGAGCTTGGTATCCTACCTGAGATTGGAGGAAAATAGGAGAGGAAAGAAAAGAAAAGAAAAGAAAAGAAAAGAAAAGAAAAGAAAAGAAAAGAAAAGAAAGCAGGAGCAAGATGTGATTGCTGCATAATGCACAGATTTCTCATTGCTGTGAATTGTAACAGTTGCACTGATACTGGTGGTAGTGTGACAATCTACCCCAGAAGGAATTTTTCAGAAGAATTTTTATTTTATCACATTTACTAGGTCAAAACAGTACAGGCAAGTGGAAGATGGAGCTAGTAAAGCTATTCTTGTACTTCCCGGAGGGTATTTTTTTTAGTTAGGCGGAGTCACGACATCATTCTCTCACATCCATGCCTCTCCTAGCCAGCACTTGTCAGATGTGTTCAGTGTTACAGAGACCCACGCAGAGCACAGGACACAATCCCTGCGCAGGACACAGTCCCTTCAGGGGCCCCTCACCTTCTGTCCTCCTTGTTTGTGTCCTGAACCATTCCAGTTCCGTGTGATTTTACGTGAACTCACTTTCAGGTTACACGGGGGTTTGCCTCTGGGAAAATAATAAAAGGAAGAGGTTCTCTGGTTAAGGTTTTGAAACTGGGCAGAATCTGGCAGATCATGGATTTCTGCTAACAGACTTTTTCTTGGATGGGGAGTACCATTCTGCATCTTTGTATTGTAAAAGCTGTTGGGAATGAGAAAGGTTTCATGTCAAAATTAATGAAAACAAAGTTTGGAATGAATTAATTTTGGGTTAGAATTAAAATTTCATAAAGGGATGGCAGGCACCCAAGACAAGCTGAGAACAGATTAAGAAGAAAATCCCTTTAAATATAAACAGAGAGAAGCACTCCAAGGACCATATTATTGCTGTGAAGTCAAAACAAACATTTTACTTTCATAGTAGCCAGGATAACCTTACTTCAGTTGTACTTAAAGACTGGCTTTTGTGTTTCCTTCTAGCCCACAGGAGTGAATGAAAGGGCTCTCGCTGACTTCTGTGGGCTCTGTGTCAGGCCCTTGCTTGGACCTAGGGCTTGTTCTGCATTGAATGCTTCATCGTTTAAGCTCTTGCTGTGTGCTGCTAAGTCAGTGCAGCGAGGCTGATGTGGTTTCTCTGCATCATAGGGTCTTTATGGGGAGGATATAGGTGCAATTGGAGCCGCTGGTCTTTTTCTGATTATAGGCACTATAGAAATGAGAAGCAAAAAAAGCATTCAGTGGTTTGCATGCTCATGTTTTCAGAAAGAATGGTATTTTAATGCATGACAGGATGCCTCTCTTCTTCTGTAGTGTTTTATAGAGGTGCCTTTGAAGGTGAGTGAAGGTTACGCAGGGAATTATTTTTTTGATTGGTTGTAGGGGCTAATTTAGAAGCATAATAACAAAGGCTCTCACTGCTCTGCTCTCTCTTCACAGGCTGTTCTGCATCTTTTAAATACCTAAGTAGCAATTAAATCTTGTAAGAGAACTTGCTCTTATAATAGTATTGCTAGATTATGCTTAATTTTTAATTGGTGTATATTTAAAATATTATGAGGGTCAGACTTGATGATCACTGTGAACTGAAGAAGTTATAAATCTGAGAAGCAGTGCTTTTGGCTGTTGTTTGGAGACAGACTGACGTCCTGAAAGGCTCTGGAGGCATCTTTGCCTGAGCACCCAAAATCAGCGTTTGCTTTTGGCAACGTGGGGATTGTCTCCTCGGCCCCGGGTGGCACAGGTCAGTCTGGCAGCAGGCTGGGGCTGCCGCCTGCTGGCAAAGGCTGCGCTGAGCACAGCTTGGCTGCGAGCCCACCCGGCTCCAGGCAGCGCTTTAAAAACCAGAATGTATTACAAAAATAAGTCAGAGCTGTTTATACCTTTCGTATTAGGTTATTGGTTTTAATCCAGTTAGTATCAAGGATGATCAGTGTGGCTGCAAAGCATTTTTCCTTCTTTCTAGGAACAATGTCAAAATGTTCCCGATTCTAATGCAATAATTTTTGTTCTTTGTTTTGTTAAGAAGCAATACATACAGATCTGTCAGCATGCTTGCACTTCTTTCCTGCAGCTTATGATACCACCTTCTTCATGCTTTCTTATACTCAGTAATTTTTTCTCTGTCAATGACCAGCTAAGGAACACATCCGTCGTAATCGACAGAGTCGTACCTTTTTGGTGGAAAATGTCATAGGAGAGATCTGGTCCGAACTGGAGGAAGGTAGTGTCCTTTCTTGAATAAACTTTGCTCTCACTAGTTTTATATTGCAGGCAAACATTGTGTTTACCACAAATGTGCTGTGCACTGAATTGTTCTCACAGTGATTATAAATAGGAAAAGAAGAAAATACAGGTTCATGTGCTGCTCTTCGTTACTAAGGCTGAATTGCTATTCTGGATGCTCTAGCAAAATACTGTTTATTAAGGAGGTGGTAGAAAGGAATCCAGGTTAAAAATGTTACCAGAATATCTTCCTCAGAATAGACCTTGCAAATATGCCATAGTATTAATTAGGTAACCTACTAGACTGTATACTAGCAGCATGAGCAATTCTACTAAACCACTTTTCATCTGTGCTAAATCAATGGCTTTTGACATCTGATTTTCATATGTACTGTCAATCATTGTGTTATCATTACTAAAAAAAGATCATGTCTTCAGTGTAGATTTTCTGTAAGTCATTATCTCTTATGCTGGTAATGCCCCTGAGAAGTTTTCATTGCAATTCGCTACTGTGATAATGTTAATGTAAATACCATTTGCCTATTCCTTTGGAAAACTAGGTGACCGTTACATCGTTGTTGACAGTGGAGGAGGCACAGTGGATATTACTGTCCATCAGATAAGACTCCCTGAAGGACACCTTAAGGAGCTATACAAGGCAACAGGTAATGTCACTTCCACTACTTCCTTTATTTATGTAATTTTACTTGTCAGTGAAGGAAATGTATGCCTTTATTGTTCGCTACATTTCACTAACAGTTTTTCCTGAAATAAGAGCAGTGTTCAAAATAAGTAAAACCGAGCTGCTGGTCAGCATACAAGGGTAAATCACTTAATGCTTCTGAAACTTTGGAGTGGTAAATCTCAGTTTGCAAGGGTAAGGAACTGTCGTCTCCTGTCTTATTCACTTCCATTCAGGCCATGACCTCCTGCCGTGGTCCTTGTCTGACTTCCAATAGTAGATTTGTCATATTCCTGTCCTTTGAGAGGACACCTGTGTCTTGCTGCTCTGTCCAGGTATTTAGAGATGTACTGCAGAATAGCTGAGTGTCACAACAAGAACCTTGTAAAGTGACTGCTGGCAGAACAGAAGTTTCCCTAAATTTAAGGGGAAGCGTATATATTCCAGTAATTTCACAGGCAGTGTAAGAAGGAACATCTGCAATCCCCTGTGAAAAATGCACCATGATTGTTCCACAACAAAGTGCAATTCCTTGAATGGTATTCCCATCTTGAACTCCAGATCCCCTTTGACTTTGTCCTGTGACTAAGATGCTACCCACATGAGACAGCCTGTTATTTGTTTCTCCACACTGAGTTAGTCTTCATCTGTATGATTCATTGCTGAGCGTTCTCAGTCTTGCTGGCTGTAAGACTGCCTCAGGAAACAAGCTAGTAAGAGCAAATGGGACACTGTACATCAAGTCTATCTGCTGCTGAATATGAGTCCCACTCACACCCTCTCATATGTGGATAAGGAGGCAGTTTCCTTTGCTTTTACTGAGAAATGTTTCTGGTTTATCATGGTAATGTTACAGTGGCTATGGTGGCATAGGAGTAAAAGTGAAGCAAAGATAAGATTATTTTCTGTATTAGGCCAACTGTTATATTTAGTATAGTTACCTCTTTCTGTAGACCTTCTCCTATGGCAGTCCTAGCAGTGTCAGTCTGATGGGTATTTGGTCAACTTGAAAACTGGTAAGCAGTCCAGAATATTAAAGCTATGTTTTGTTTGTAATGCAGGTGGACCGTATGGTTCTCTAGGTGTGGACTATGAATTTGAAAAGCTCCTGTGTAAAATATTTGGAGAAGATTTTATTGAGCAATTTAAAATCAAGCGCCCTGCTGCCTGGGTAGATCTGATGATAGCATTTGAGTCCCGTAAACGGGCAGCAGCTCCAGACAGGACCAATCCACTAAACATCACTCTGCCTTTCTCCTTCATTGACTATTACAAGAAGTTTCGAGGTCACAGTGTAGAACATGCCTTGAGGAAAAGCAAGTGAGTAGACGATTGAACCCAAATGGATGCAGAAAGCACCCTAAATGACAAGATCATGGGCTGCTACACTTTACTACACAAGAGGAAGTAGGGAGAAGGTTGAAGTGAGCATTTTGCGTCTTTCGAAGTTATATGCTACAGGAGACCTCTAGATTAATTGGCATCAAAGAGAATGAACAAGAGAGAGGCTGCGAATCTGGGGCAGAATGCTTGGGACCTGAGAGGAGAAGACGTGATATTTAGAACCTGTACCTTGGCCTCTTTCTGCATTTTTTAAGCTAGTGAATGTTGAATGTAGCATGCAGGCTGAAACTCCTGCATCTTTTCCTAAAGTTACTGGTAAATGTACTTTAAGTTTAAATGACTTGGAATCCAGCTCGGAGTCACTTCCTAAATGAGACTGAGGTTCTGAAATAATTAAAAAGTTCTGGAAATATTCCCCTTCACAAGGCCATCTCCTTCTTATTAATAGTCTTAATGGTAAATCTTAGAAGGAATGCTAAATGATCCCTTCAAATCAAATTAAATTAATTGGATAATGGGATAGAAAGAGTATAAAGGTGACATATAATGTGCATGAATGAAAAGGAGATTACTGAGCTATATGAATGTGCAGCAGTGATGGAATAACAAAATGCCTGTGTTCACTTAACAAATGTTATACCTTATTAAAAATGCTGTGCTCTCTTCTGCCTCCTGAGGCTTCCCATACTTGCTTGTTTGGCATGCTAGTGCTATAATCTAAATGTTGCCCTTCTGGGGATGAATCAGTGCTGTTTCAGATGAGCGAGCACTGGATTGACTGCCAGCTGTTTCAGGAAGCAGCTGAGCGTTGGTAATGCTACAGAAAGCAATCAGGCAAAGAAAACAACAATTAGACAAGCAAAAATAATTATTCTCCTTTGAAATTTTACGTTGCTGCAGTTGGCGTGGGGCTAGGGTGGGGTGAAGCACTTTCTTCCAAGCAAAATGCATGCAGATTCTGTAAACTCATTCATTTATTGATTTATTTAGCATGTCTTGTGGGTGCTTGGCTGTTTGTTATAGCTCATCTATAATATTTTAATGTCTTTTCTAACTGTTCTCTTCCAGCGTGGACTTTGTGAAGTGGTCCTCCCAGGGAATGCTGAGGATGAGCCCGGATGCAATGAATGCTCTTTTCAAACCTACAATTGACCAGATTGTTCAGCACCTTAGTATGTATCTGTGTGTAATTCCACTTTCCAGCTGAGCTGAAACTGAAGCTTTGCTTACCTGTTTCAAACCAGTAACTGGAATTCAAGTCAAAGAACCCCCCTAGGGCACACCAAATGTGGGCAAGGAATTTACTTCTGAAGCTTGTAGTTCTCTACAAAGTAGTTAGGAAAATAATAAAAGTAAGGGACATCACCTTAACATTTACTCTTTCCTAGTTCTAATACTAGTTATTGGGTGTGATTCAGTCCTGTTACTGCCTAAGCTTCAATTATACTTCCAGGGCTGCAAGCATTCAGAAGGCTGAATTGCACTTTTCTTTTTCCCGTTTCAGGCAACAACTAAATAATGCCAGAGACATAGCTAGTTTCTGATTATTCCTATAATTAAGACCTCCAGTTAGTTTCTCCTCAGTGGAAGGACTTATAAAGTGACATTTGTTCATGAACATCCAAATCACTGACATGTCTAAAACACAAATAATAAATGACACATCATGGTGGAAGTACTTCCAGGCATGGCTTAACCAGCACTGAATTTCTTTATCCAGTAATGGGAAGTGACATAGGCTTGTTGGGAAATCTCTCATTTAAAGTCTTCCTGGTGGAAGACGGGATTTGTATCATTGTAGATTATAACGTGTGTACTGAGCAAAGTATTGCTGTTCTACACATTACAAAGCACTAATTGAATTGTGTTTGGAGTGGAATATCCAGCTTTACTCGCTATATTTGAGGAATTATTAGATAAATTTTGAGACGCCACAACTTGACAGCTAGTACAAAACAGCTTATATGTGAGCAGGGAGATAGAGGTCTAGAACTGCAATAGTTGTGACGCATACCTCAGTCATGCTGCCTCAGTTATCTGAACTAAGTGTGAACCTACAACTAAACTGTATGATAATCTTGAAGGTAGGGGATGTGGGCTTAAGCTAAGAAGGAACATCTGTGAAAAAGTAAGGAGGTATTATTTTGCACATGGTACATATTGTGGTTAAGATGTTAGGGTCAGAAATAATAAGCAAATTTAAAATGGGGTGACTTAACTGGAATGCTGTAAAGGGTGTGTGAATCAGTTAGGTTTGGGAATATCTTACTGATACTTGAAGTGGCAAGATGATGTCTGTTTCCCTACCACCCAAATAGTGACTGGCAGGATTTCTTTGCAAAAATCGGTGTCTCACTTTACTGATAGAAGCTAAATAAAAATTCTGTTTTACGTGCCGCTTCAGAAATATTGCACGCTTCAAGGTAAGTTTCCATTCACAGTGAAACAGAGTATAGAAGAGACTGCAGAAGTGGAGCTAGTGCATGCTGAGAGCAGCAGTGTGGGCATAGATGTGGCCGTTTCAGATTTTATGCATGTGCATGGGACATTCAGTGCACTCAGACGTTAGGAGTTTTACCTGCATTCCCCTTTCACAGTGGATTTTTTTTTCCTATTGAATGGGCTCTGTTTCTGTTTAGGTGATGTGTTTGATAAACCAGAAGTGACCAATGTCAAGTTTCTGTTCCTGGTGGGTGGCTTTGCGGAATCCCCATTACTCCAACAAGCTGTCCAGAGTGCTTTTGGTTCAAGATGTCGAGTCATCATTCCTCAGGATGTGGGGCTCACTATCCTCAAAGGAGCTGTTCTCTTTGGTCTAGACCCTGCTGTCATCAAAGTGCGGCGTTCACCTCTCACCTATGGTGTGGGTGTGCTCAATCGGTTTGTGGAAGGAAAGCATCCACCAGAAAAGCTTCTAATCAAAGATGGCACACGCTGGTGCACTGATGTCTTTGACAAATTTATCTCAGCCGACCAATCTGTAGCCCTTGGAGAAACTGTGACACGCAGTTACACGCCTGCCAAACCTTCTCAGTTAGTAATAGTGATCAATATCTATAGCTCAGAACAAGATAATGTCAGCTTCATCACCGAATCTGGAGTGAAAAAGTGTGGCACCCTTCGTTTGGATCTCACGGGAACTGATGCTTCAGTGCCAAACCGGAGGGAGATCAAAACACTTATGCAGTTTGGGGACACTGAAATCAAAGCCATGGCCATTGATGTTGCCACCTCTAAAAGTGTCAAAGTCGGTATTGATTTCTTAAACTACTGACAGCCCATTTTCCCCACCACAGCCTGTTTGTGAGACTGATCTTCCACTCTTCCATTTTTTGACTTTCATATATTACATAATCAACTTGAATTTCAGCAGGCTATACGAGAACAACTAGAAAGGTGGAGTATGTCATATTTGTGCCCTTTGATGACCAAAGACTGGATTTTGAAAGACCCTTAAAAAGTTTTGGGAGCAGAAGTTCCAGAGGTAGTAAAAGTTCCCAAGTTACTCAAGCATGCTTAAAGATTTACATTTATTAAGTAAATAGTGATTATTGTTGGATCCTGGAGATTAGTTAAAAAGATATAAAATTGTAATCTCTTTGCCTTGTTCTTGTTCCTCTTCTTCCTCTTTCTCCCCAGAAAACTCTCTAAGCCCCATGGTTGTTGTAGGGGGTGTGTCTCTGTGGGGCATCTGTTTAAACAGCACCATGCTCTAGCAATGGGAACAAATTAGTAGTCTAAGGCATTCTTTTATTCTTTGGATTTTGCCCCATGGCTTAAAAAATTTAAGTGCTGAAAGTCAATGACTTAAAGAAATGGGAACTGAGTTGCTGAAATTCCGAGATCCCACTGAAGAGAAAATCCTTAGATATAGGAAATATATGTATATTCTAGGAGCCTAATATTGTTTGCTGCAGTTTGAAAACAAGTCCTTTATTGTCAAAGCTCTCAGAACTAGCTGTTGGATTAAATAACTAGTATTTCCCTCATTTTACTTTGGAAAATTACTAAGAACAAAGCTATTTCCCTTTTGGGTCTATCTAAACTGAGTTTTATTAGTATCCATCTGCAATCATGGAATCACAGAATAGTTGAGGTTGGAGGGGACATCCATTGACGATCTGGTCCAACCTCTCAGCTCTAAACAGTATCAACAAGAGCAGGATGCTTTTTCTGGTTTTGAACATCTCTGAAGATGGAGGTGCCTAAACTCTGGGCAACCTGTTCCAGTATTTGACAGCCCTCACTGCGAAAAAGTTTTTTCTTATATTTAAGAGGAATTTCTTAAGTTTCAATTTGTGCCCATTGCTTCTTTTTCCTTCACTGGATACCTCTCAGAAGTCTGGCTCTTCTTTACTGGGTTCTATCAGGCATTTATATATATTCTTTGCATCCCCTGAGCTTTTTCGAGTCTAAACAGTCTCAGCTTTCTCAGCCTCTCCTCACGTGACAGATACACCTTCATGCGCCTTTGCTGGTCTCAGTCCAGTATGTCCATGTCTCTTCTTGTACCGAGAAGCACAGAACTGGACCTGGCACTCCAAATGTGGTCTCACCAGTGCTGAATAAAGGGGAGTAATTATTTTCCTTGACCTGCTGGCAATGCTTTTCCCAATGCAGCCCAGGAGGCTGTTGGCATTCTTTGTTGCAAGGGCACGTTGCTGGCTTACACTCAACTTTGTGTCTATGAAGACCCCGAGGTCTTTTTTTGCCAAGCTGCTTTCCAGCTGGTTGGCTTGCAGCATATATTGGTGCATGAGGTTATTTCTCCCCAGGTTCACAACTTTGCACTTTGTTTCACTGAACCTTGTGAGGTTCCTGTCTGCACATTTCTCCAGCCTGTCGAGGTCCTTCTGACCCGTCTCATTTATCAAGCACTTCTCCAAGTGATTATATGTCTTTCAGTTAATCCCTATGTTAAGATTTGGAAGTAGAGTTACATGATGGGAGTCCAGGAAGGTTTAAACAACTTAAGTGAGATAAAACCTTCAGATCAAAAGTACCATAATATAATTTGAGGAGCAAACATTTTAATTGAGTAAAATATATTTCTGGGTTGACTTGAATGGCCAGTAAAGTGGAAGGCAGAAGCCAAGAGAATGAAACTACAAATAGCATTAAATAAAGCATTCCCTACATGGCTCTGAGCAGACAACTCTAATGCAGGTGAAATACAGTGATGGTCATCTTAGCATCTTTTTTTGCAAATAATAACTTTCTGAAAATGTTTTCTTAAGCACATTCACCTGGAAAATTTCTTCTGCAACTGGAACAGTTTTTATTTTGCAAAATGTGACTGGTGAATAACTTCTGAAACCTACGATCCGTATCTGCCAGGAGCTGACAATTTCAGATTCAAATCCAAATCCCACTTGAAATTGGCACACCGATACTAACCCATAGATTCACCCTAAAATGCTGACACTCTTAGAGCATCTATACAGAGCTGCCTGATTACCTGCTGGAATTCATTACATTTTTGAAACTTTGCAATGTTAATTGTTAAACTAAACCCTCCATTCTAATAAGTTGAGCATGAGTTAAATCCATTACTGACACTTTTGGGAAAAGAAATCTTTATCAATTATTTCACTCATTTACGTTCCAGTCCTGCACTTAAGCTTTCTGTGTTTAGCCTGGAGTTTTGCCACAGTGAAGAGCTGCAGAACTGATCGACTGCATTTTGCCATCGAGTTTTCTGTCTCCTGGAGAATTCTCTAGTTGAATGTGAAATCTATTCCACATTCAGCTTAAAAAAAAGAAAAAAAAAAAAAAAAGAAAAAGAAAAGAAAAGAAAAAAAAGAAAAGAAAAGAAAAGGACTATGGAGAATGCTAGTCACAGTATCTGGGTGGATACTTTCTATAATTACAAAGTGTGCTTGCTAGCATTCAGTTTCCTGCTGCCTGCTAAATGCTTTAAAAGCTAAGTACTGGGATTTTTTGTGTGTGTTGCTTTCCATGGTTTACAAACAAGAGAAACTTTAAGATGAGTTATGAACAATATAATTTTATGTATATACAATATTTAAATATTGTACAGACTCTTTCTTTCTACAGTGCTATTTTCTTGTATAAAAATGCTCTTTGCCTCTGTTGATTTCATTCAGCTGTTAATTTTAAATAACATAGTTTCTCAATCAGCTTCTGTAATTATAGGCTTTTAAAGATGGTAAGATATGAAATGTAAAAGGCTGATCTTATAATAATAGGAAATGAATGTTGGTGTGTCAGAGAATACAACATTCTTCCTGCAATCCAAGTCATACCAGTTCAGCACATTACCCAGATGCACTAGTAAATTGCTGGGATTTTCATTTCTTTGTTTCAGATGATGACCATTCCATCTCCAGCAGTTCATCATAATAATGGATGAATCCTCCTGTAAAACCAAGTTAAGAATTAGATTGTAAGATCTAGATACGCAACTTCTTCACTAGGTTTTGGGGTTTTATCAGATATATAAGTTCTTCACTAGGTTTTGGGGTTTTATCAAGGATCTTCTCTAGTTTTAAAAGACAAAAAAAACCAAAAAAAAGCAAACACAAAATTACTTTCCAAAGCCAGGCAACACTGATTTATTGTAGCTGCAGGTAGGACCCAGTCTCTACTACTACCCCTTACCAAAAGACAAAATTCTTAAAATAATGCTTCCATGTCTTTGCGTCCTATGTTAAACTGAATCAGTCCAATTTGCACAGATTTGTTTCCCGTGTCCTTAAGTTAACACAGAATTTGGTCTAATTAATGCCTGCAACCTCCCCCTCTCCCCCTGAAGAGGAGGCGAACTGCAAGATCAGGTGGCCCATGATTTTTGTGCTGTTTTCAGCCTGTCTGCAAGGAAAGCTAAGGGTAGTTTCTGCAGCTCTTCTGAAGCGCAGAAGTGATTCTCTGCCCTTTTTTATTCACCTTTTATAAGATTCCATCTGGATCCAAGCAGGGATTTGTAGCTGAAATGACTCTACTGTAACTGTAAAATATGAAGTTTGCATATTTTTGCACTTCCTCTTTCAGTCTGATGAGAGCACTGTCAAGCTTATCTTTACAGAGCACTGAACTACTGAACAAACTCTCAGCTGTCCTTGTTGCCCTTCTTAAATCTAAGAATGGAAAATTAGCTTGTATCTCTAAGGAATTAAAATTGTAAGTAGAATATTATGCTGTGGTCTGTAGTCTATAACCCAGTTAAATGACTTTACATTGTAAGTGGCATGCGGATGCCCATTTTGATAAAGGATGTTAGGCTATAAAATTAATATGAAATTTATTAGGAAATGAGTAATTGTTAGAATAGTAGTTCTGATACTTTTGCAGGAGATTCCCTGCAGAGCATTTTTTGCTAGGGGTTTCAGATATCATTGTGCAACTTAATATTGAGAAGGCAAGGACTGCTCTCCTTAGGGAAAGCAGAAGGCCATGGCAGAAGTTGTGCTCTAAGCAGCAACTTGCAAGTTTGGGTCCAAGTTACTTAACTCTAGGTGGAAAGTTAGCAGCTAATTGTGATAGAATGACAAATTGTGCTAGAATATGATAAATGCGCGGTGATGGTTAGGACAGTTTACATTGGTATGAACATACCAATATTTATATACAGGAGTTTTAATGCATTATTATGAGAAGGCTAATTATATATTGCAGAGATTTAATCGCCAAGATAAGCTGCATATTTATGGTATGAAGTGGCTTAAGCGGATGAATAGTATAAAAGTTGTTGGGCAAAACGTCACAGCACTCACCTGCTTGAAATAGTCTTAAACTATATTATAAACCAAACCATTGTGGTCTTGTTCACCTCTGTGCAAGATAAATTCAGATTTCACTGATGTTTGGAGCTCTTCACGACTTGTCTGGATTGTATCTTGAGTGTTCTTGTGTCTTCAACCATGTCAAATAAAATACAGTAAAACTAATTTTTCTTTTTGGTTGTTACTGTTTTTATGAAAATGACTATGAAAAGAAACCTAATTTATTTTGAAAGTGAGAAGGACCAAGTGATTATACTTGTGTTTGGCTACTCTTGCGTATGCTTAACTGAGAAAAAGTTACATCTACTGGATGTGCTGCTTATGAGATTTCTTCAATCTTTCAGTATGGGGACACCTAGAGTTTTGGCCAAGGGCTTGCAGGCCCTTATGCATCACAACTCTTCAACGAGAGGCTGCTGCATTTTTAGTTCACTTGTGCACTTTCTAGGAGGACGCCACATGTGTCTGAGGTGGAAGTCCACTGCTGGGAATTACTCCAATTCCGCCAGGCTCTGTGTAGGGTATCTGTTGGAGTTAAGACTTTGGA